ATTAATGGAAATAGCAAGTTCTTGTAGCTGGGAGGGTAACGACGGCCTGCCAGACCATCGAAAGGGTAATGGAGCTCTCAGGCGTGAAGAACACTGCTGCAGACCATCTTGATGGAAACTCAGCATTTACAGATGAGAAACTTTTCAAAAATTAGTCAACAATGAGTCGCGAACCTCCTCAGTGCCTCGCGGGCAACTTTGAATAAATCCACCTATTGTAAGAGAACCACTGCTGTGATGTAGCATTCCTAAGCGTACCATGTAACATGAACAAAACATAGTGAAGTAAAATGGAGTGGTGAAAAAAATTCTGATGAAAAATCTCCCGATTCACTCTATGCATTGATTCACCCTAAGGCCGAAAATAAATTAGTAGTCAACAGTGTCCACCTCTGACTTTGTGGCATTTGTCTATTACTCACGCTAGAGTTGCATCGTAATATAAAAGGCATGATCACATGAAAGGTATGTCACTGTTGCGCTTCATGGTCATTAATCTTTTCTTACTGCTGTTCCCATGATTTTATGTGAAACATTAATCAATTGCATCATTAGTTGATGATTCAATGATATTCTCTAGCAAACCATTCAAACAGCATCGCCAAGTTTGCACCTTGGAACGAATATGCGATTCGAGTGAACTATTTTTGTATCAGTGAAATTGGCCCAGAGCCGAATAACAACCGCAATTTACAAAAAAAGTGCGCGGCGATCAAAGATTATTTTACAATTTGCTTATTAATTGTAATTTCTCAAGCACACTAATTTTCGTCATCATCTCTCCAAGGTTGTTCGCACCATTTGGATAACATGAAAAGCTCTACTTGAATTTAGGCCCTTCTTGAACTGTGTTCTATGTGATATTGATTATGCTGATGGAGTGATTACGCCAGTAATTTTTGTGATAAGTTTTTGTGCAAAAATGGAATGTGAGTGTTTCGAATGTAATTCATCATCACTTCGTGCAATTATTTACACATCACCCAATCACATAACACTGTCTCGATAGTCAGTGCCATTTCAGTCTGTCCTTCGAACAGTTTTCGTGCATTCTCATGCATCGTCAAGTGAACAAATTCTTTCACATTGTTGATGTCCACCCTTTCAAGACAATTTTTGCTACATCTTCTGATAATGGGTGCCACCGCGCCATCGCAGATGCTCGTGTGCACATACGCTTAACACATAAGTGAAAGCCTATGCGTTAGCCTCATCACTGGGCTAAGCTTAAGCGTACTGCTGATTTGACTTCGAATTGCATATCTACACGCGGGGCAAAGTGGTAATCTAAGCNTTTTTTTGCGTACAGTTACGATAATCCTCCATTTTCAGCTGCTGACTCACAAAAGTGAAAATAAACGATCGTTAGTCATCCTAATCAGCAGCGAAAACTTTTGAAAGCACTGCAGCAATGGGATTTTGGGACGAAAGTTTTTGGTTGCCTGAGAATGTGAGTTGGAGTGACTTGAAGTCGAACTCAACCGTATTGTATCCAGATGTTAATGATCTTATGTCTACTGTTAAGTAAGTGACTAATGTTTTATTCATATTGCTCCTCTCAGTGGAATTGAATCATGTTAAAGGGGAGTCCAATATTCAATCGGGTATAAACGGGACGGTTTTGATATTAATTCGGTCCGATAATGTTGTATTATAGATATGGAGTATTGATGTTAGTGTTACGAATTCTGGTTGAATCGTTCGTATTTCTACCGATCGGCTATATATTTGGGTATGTGGAAGCACCTGAAGGAGTGTTCGATCGAATTTTCTCGCATCTGAAGTTTGGATTTGCCGGAAAAAGCAAATTTAAACGAGTTGCCGAAACTGCATGGCGCTTCACATTTTATGTATTCGCTTGGTTTTTCGGTATCTTTCCAACTTGAGATTATTCCTTTGTTCATCCATTTCCAACCATAGATACATATAAGCATTTTCCATTAAAGTTGTTTTCTCGAAAATCCACTTAGTCGATAATGTTAAACATGGATGTGCTTGCCAGTTGCGTCGATCATCCATTTCGTTCTGAATTTTCAAGAAAGAACTTTACGATGAAATGTTTTGCTGTATGAAAGTTTTGCTGTATGATTCACGATGAAATGTTTTAAAATAGGTCTTGCGGTAATGTGGGATCAACCGCAGTTGGTAGACGTAGTGGAATGTTGGCGAAATTGGCCTTATCATCCCATATCCACTGGTATTTGGTGGTATTACATGATTGAAACGTCCTTTTATTGGGCTCTCCTCTTCAGGTTCGTTGTGTTCTGTTATTCCATGTAATGCGGTTTTGCATATTTAAAATAAATCAAGCAAATGTTTCTTCATTTGATTCTATTTTGAATACTTCATTTTAAAGCCAATAACGAAAACGTTTCATGTCTTACTTTCAACGTCAATAGCAATAGTCTATTTTCGTAAACAGACTACTTCAACCTTGGATGTCACTGAAGCCCAATGCATTACTCACTATCTAGTTAATGCTTTCACCGCTTTTCGGCATAGAATTTGCATTAGTTGTTGCCACTAACTCATAACNTCCAGTATCTACCTTTTTTCAGTGTCACTTTAATCATTAAGTAATCATGTGATGAACTTTGCAGTTCATTGTTGTTCGATATTCGTCGTGCTGATTTCGTTCAGATGACGTTACATCATACAGTCACATTGCTGTTACTTTACATGAGCTATATACTGAATATGGTCCGAGCTGGAACGTTGATTTTGTTCAGTCATGACGTTGCTGATATCTTTATGTTAGTTTATGGCCGTTCGGATTTGGACGCGGAAATCGTTTCCGTTCTTTGAATTTTTAATTCGTACAGTCAATCGCCATGTTGTGTCGTTGAGTTGACATTAGAATAACAGAGAACACAGAACAAATAACATCGACACTTATATAATATTCTTATAAGCATATTTGTAATGAGAAATGTAAGAATTTGCTTGTAACATATGGTATGTAAAATAGATCTCTATGCAGCAGGCTAACGTATCGACTAAGATTCAGAAGATGAATTCATGCAATACAATAAGCAATTCTCAAATAGAGATAATTTAAATTTGTATCATTTTACTGGTGTTCACTAGAACTAAAAATATACCTACTGTAAACATAAATAAACGTCTTGATTTGAGTGNTTTTACTGAAATACTCATTCGACGTCATTTCAGTGAACTTGGCAAATTATTCCGTTACGCAAATTGGCAAGTGCCGTTAATGATATTATTTGTGATATTTTTAATTTTATGGACGCTGACAAGATTGGTTTATTATCCGTTTTGGTTTATACACTCAGTTATATTTGATGCGCCACCACTCTTACAGGTTTGTGTTTTCATGTTCAGAATTATGATTCATAAAGAGAAAGCAATTTCATGTTTGTTCGTTTGTTAAATATTTGTTTCTGTTATAAACACCTGTTGAATGGTGCTTAAGGATACATTGAATTTGTAGAGCAATTATCGTTGGGAGAATTTGTTGCAACGGCCAATAGTACCACGCATATTGGTGGGGATGTTGCTGTGTCTTTTGGTGTTGCACATATTCTGGACGTATGTTATCGTGATGGTTGCGGTGAATTCGGTTGGTGGGGAGTTAGATGATATCCGAGAACAGAGTGACAGTAGTGATGAAGAGGTGAAGAACGTCGATGAGGATAGCCCTAAAAGTTCTGACGAAAAGAAGGTGCAGTAATGTGGTGGTGGTAACATTTGGATTATTTGACCTTGTTGAAGTATTCTGTGGAGATCGTGCTGAGAATCGCGCGCGCTTCATTGTTGGGTTATTCTCAGATGAAATGTGAGAGGTTGTTTCGAAATGAAAGTGGGAATCGAATTATAGAACTCATTTATAATTGATCAGAATTGTCTTGGAATGGAAAGAGAAAACTTCAATGTGGATGTGAATAACAGTGTGAAACATGATTTTCAGTTTTATGTGTTGTTGACATTTGGTTATATAAGATGATATTATTATGTTAATATTTTTGTCATTATTATACATCAAATTCCATCCTCATCATTCGTTAATTATCTGTTTTTTGAGTTTTTGCATGAGATTTCTCTTTCTATTCATCATCAGCAACAGTCCGGCTTCTCCAAGCCTATTCTAATGATTAATTTGATCGACTGGCCGGCGAATTTTCCAAGAAACTTTCATTATTTTCCAGTATTTCGCATTTGAAATTAATGAGGAGAATGGTTTTCTACTGCCAAATTCCATCAGAAAATCACATTTTCTGTATGAATTACAGAATTGCATCCTTAATGTTGCTTCTAAATACGGCAGTCTAAGGAAGAATGGAT